ACATTTGTGGTACATTGTTTTGTTGTTCTTTTTGGTAAACCTTTAACTTTTAGGGATCGTTGAAAAAGGGGAAATTTTCGTAGGTGATGAGTGGGAAAGAAACCATAGCTCTTAAATCACATTGTTGTGTGTTAGAAAGAGATATTGTATTTTAGGGTTGCCAAGATTTGCTAGATAGGGAAAATGAAAGGTAAAGCCTTAGGTATTTTGACATTTTTAAGGCAAAAATAAATAAATGCTAATTTTAAAAATTGTTTAACTTTCTAATGATTTATCTTAAAAAGTGACTTAACAAGTTAAAAAATATCAGTCGGTATTGCCGACAGATATATACCCTCAGCCTGTGTTCGATTATTTAAATATAATTTGACTGGTGTTACAATTATTCAAACGTTTGACCCTCTATGGAGCAGGTTCCGAAAGAATGGGCCAATATTGCCTATTTAGTATCGGACCCAAAAATATGATATAAATATTCCGACGTTCCTGGTATGGATTATATCGACTAACTCCTTCACTTTATGTGAGATATGTAATAATTTTTAGAAAATGTTAAAATGTGTGTGATGTACAAGATAGAATCTACCGAAATATTCCACTTTTATACTTCATCTGATACAAAAAAAAAAAAAAAAAAATATTGAGCGAAATATTGGGCAACATTACAAGAAAGGATATTTATGTCCAATTTTATGCGAAATCGTAAATTCCGATAAATTTCATATTCATATTCATAGCAAGTAGTAAAGAATTGCTAAATTGTTTCGAAAGTTATGACAGATAAAATTATTGAAAATTGTGACCCCAGAAGGGGTTGGCAGATATATATATATATCAACTTCACAACAGATCTTGTGTTAGCAAAAATATTTGAAATTTGAAGAGAGTTGGATGAGCGTTTTGTTTCTCAAAATCTTTAACCCTATGTTAGGGGGAGATGAAATGTTTCGATCTATACCACCTTTATAACAGATCTTGTGTTGATAGAAATATTGAGAGTCTAAATGGAATCGGATATTAATTTAGAGTTTTGTGAGCTTTATCGGTATTCAAAATTTCGAAACTTTGTGGGGGAGGTACCAGAAGGAGTGGACCGATACATTCCATGTTAACAGCAGATTCTGGGTTTATAAAAATATTGGAATGTGTGAAATTTGAAGACGTTCGGATCCTAACATCACATTTTGTAAGAGTTATAATTATTCAAAATGTTGACCCTTTGTGGAGGAGGTACTTGATGGAGTGGGCCGATACTGTCCATTTTCGCACCTGACCTAGCACTGACGCAAATATTAGGATTTGCAAAGTTAGAGCAAAATCGGATTATCGTTTCTCTTTTTGTGCAAAAAATATATATTTTTTTTAAATTTCGACCTTTTGTGGGGGAGGTACCAGAAGGAGTGGACCGATACATTCCATTTTCACACCAGACCTTGGGCTAATAAAATTATTGGGATGTGTGAAATTTGAAGACTATCGCAATTATACATAGCATTTTATTAGAATTTTAATTATTCAAAATTTTGACCCTTTGTGGGGGATGTACTTGATGGAGTTAACCGATATTGTCCATTTTCGCACATGACCTAGCACTGATGAAAATATTAGGATTCGCAAAGTTCGAGCAAAATCGGATTATTCTTTCTCTTGCTATGCAAAAAATTATTTTCTTTGAAAATGTTGACATTTTGTGTGGGAGGTACCAGAAGGAGTGGACCGATATTGCGCATCTCCGAACTCGATCTAAGTTTGACAAAAATATTACGATGTACCAAGTTTGGATCAAATCGGATACTCCCTTCGAGAGTTATCGTGCGCACCAGCCAGACAGACAGACAGACGGACGGACGGACATCGGTAGATCGACTCCAAATGTTCTGAAACGGATTTGGTCCAAAGAGACCTAGGGTCAAATCAAATGATATATACACTCTGTAGCCATATGGCTGAGGTTATAAAAAGACCTTGGTTTGTTTATTGACGAACACATCAGTTCATTCACCATAGGATCCCAGCTAACATTTTTTTCCATTTTTTTGGGAATCCTGGAAAAAAATTCTGCACAAGTTTCCAATTTTGAAGTCGAATTCGGAACGAACTCGGAATAAAATTTTGTGAGATTGCCGAAGATTTTGAAAGTGTTTTTGGAAAAAAATCGGAAAGAACATTAGAGTTTTGTGAGGAATTCTATAAGAATTCGCAAAAGAAACCAGTAAGGAGAAGTCCAGAATCGAGCGGGACCGGCTTTATGATACCCCATACCACTATGCTAATTCAGTAGAGCTCCTGTAACAAAAGAATTTATTTGAAGTAGATCATACCACCTATCAACATTTGGCTTTAGAGCAGTTATAATTTGATTTCAGACGGAACAAATATAGTGGAAGCATATCCAATTCCGAATTGATTTTCACTAAATTTGACAGAGACAATTTAATCTTTTATACCAAATAACATTGCTATAGAGTGCACTATATCACTTCGAGAAGGATTATATTAAAAAAATATATATATCAGAGCCGAGTTCCACAAAATGGAAACATAAGTCCCGAAATTCACTCCATTTGGGCTGATATTAGCCATTATTTTAACAATAAATCTGAAATCGGATTAAGGATCTGAACCAATCTCAATAAAATTTGCAGAGGTATTTCTGAGCTGTATTTGATATCTGGTACCATATCTCATTGTTGTCGAATGCATATTACGAATGTGGGGAACATAAACATCGAATCGAATAAAACATATATATGGAAACTATAGCTATATCTGAACCGATTTTCTTCGAATTCGATGTACTTGCTTCCAGACTGAGTTCGGTCGGATGTGCCAAAATTCAGGACGTTTTGGACTGATATAGGTCATTTGGAGCAAAATTAACCCGGAATCGGTTGCAAATGTATATGGAAGCTATATCCAAATCTGAACCAATCTCAATAAAATTTGACAGACGTATTTCTGAGCTGTATTTGATATCTGGTACCGAAGATTATTCTTATGGGGTGCATTTTACGAATGTGTGGAACTAAAATACCAAATCGGATAAAACATATATATGGGGGCTATAGCTATATCTGAACTGATTTTCTCCGAATTCGATGTACTTGCTTCCAGACTGAATTCGGTCGGATGGGCCAAAACTCTGGTCAATTGGACTTATATTGGCCATTTGGTGCGCAATGAACCTGAAATCGGATTAAGGATATATATGGGAGCTATATCTAAATCTTATCCGATCTCGACAAAATTTCGCAGAGGTATTTCTGGGCTCTATAAGCCCAGATACAAAATTTGTTGTCGAATGCATATTACGAGTGTGGAGAACTTAAACATCAAATCGGATGAAACATATATATGGGAGCTATAGCTATATTTGAACCGATTTTCACTAAATTTTGATGTACTTATTTCTAGACTGAATTCGGTCGGATATGCCAAAATTCAGCACGCTTGCACAGATATTGGTCATTTGGTGCACAATTAACCCGAAATCGGTTGCAGATATATATGGGAGCTATATCTAAATCTGATCTGATTATCACCAATTTCTATATGGTTCGTCCTTGGGCCAAACAAATATTGTTTGCAACATTTCATCTCAATCGTATAATAAATGCGACCTGCATTTTGTTCAGAAGAATACATGGACGGACGAACAGACGAATTGACATGCATAATAAATAATAATAGACGGGAACCCTGATTTTTTTCCTGAAAGTCCGGGTTCAAGACCCCGACTAGACCTGGATTCAGTTACATAATAAAATAATTTTAATGAACTGGTTAGAATCGGGTTATGCGGGTGGACCCAAAAAAAGGTATTAGCACAAATTGTAGCATTTTGGAAAGGTAAGAGTGTCAGCAATAATTTGGCATCAATTTGATTGACGCCCATAATGGGCCCTTTTTTCGAGTATTGGGGTTTTTATAAAAAAATCCGGGTCCAAAAAATCAATATTTCAACTATAACTTCCGAAAAATCATGTGACCACTTGTTGGATAGGCATTTTCATAGTCTAGTCTGGGACTTGAACCCGCACTTTCGGGTCCCGGGTCTGTCCTCCTAGAAAAAAATAGTTTCCCGGAATCAGGGTTACAATAACTACCTCTGGAAAAAATTCGAAAAAAATTCGAACTAAACTAAAGTTGTTCCGTTTCCTATTATTACCTTGTTTTCTTGTCATTACACCTCTTTTCACTCAACGATATTGAGATACTAATATTCTTTGTTATTTCTTTGTTTGATGTCTTTTTATACCCTCTGCCATAGTTTGGAGTATGCATGGTAGATTGAGTTTGTTATTCCCTTTGTAACTCCTCGAAATAAACTTCTTAGACTCCGAAGTTAGGAGCCTTTTTACTTGTAAAATTTATAGGTTGATAAACCAACACTATTTCCTTGCCACGTTTCTCTTTTCAACAGAAGTTCCCATATATAACCTCTTAATCTACAATACCTATATTATAATATTTGTGCATTGGTTGGGTAACCCTGTCACACTGCTCTTCCTTTTATTTGTTTCTTCAAAACAAAGCGAAATCATTGTTTCCACAACAATACAACGAAAGAAATAACCTTTTGTTTTTTTATTTGCCTTCTCACATAAGCTCCACCCATTATGCATTGTCTGTTGCTGGAGAGGGAGTGGAAACCATTTCTTAAATCAGAGAAGCCATACAGTTGCTCTCATCGCCGTTTACTACAAACCCACTGGGAGAAATAAACACAATGTGGCAGCTCAGTTTTCCAATACAAAAAGAGAAACACAGTGGAAATGAAACGTACATCACTTAAAGTGAGAGGGAGAACGATATGTGTTTATATTCTTTACTCTCATTGTGTTTTGTTGTTACATATTGGGGGTGTGTTGCCAAATGAGAGTCACTGGAATTGTTCGCTCTCTCCTATTGTGTGTGAGTGAGTTTTTCAAACAATTCGGCTGCTCAGTTGCCAGGACTACGCCGTGAGTGAAATAAATTGAATGGAAAGAGTTGCATTTTTGTTTTTGGACATTCGCATTAGAACCTCGTTAAAACAATTTTAGCTGCCGTTGTTTTGAGTGAGAAATCCAAATGAAGTCTTGTTTTCGGTGTTGTTGTTCCCACCAAAATGTGAGCATTTCAACATTGTTGTGCAGCGGCATTGTTGTTGTTCGACGGGGTATTTGTGAGTGTTTTGTGGCTTTTGGCCAACAAGCAGGACTGGTTTTTCCCAACTTCAGTTCTTGTTGGATTCTCAAAGAGATCGCGTGTTTAGTGAAATAATAACTAACGCGTGTTTAGTTGTTGTCTCGTTTTTGGTTCTGTTTTCCCCCAAAACAAAAAAAAAAAAAATGTTATGGTGATGTGTTGACACACAATAAAAGAATTGTAAAACAGAAAAAAAAGGAAACAAAAAACAACACATCTAAAAACGCAAACTGACCAAAACGCCAATTCGTTCAGAACAAAAAGTAATAATATTATTCTTTACATTTTCAAATCAAAAAAAAAAAAATAATTTACATCAACACTGGATGTGATTTCAATTCGAGCGGACGTGTGTGATTGCAAAAAAAAAACAACAACAATGAAAATTTTGAAAATAAAATTAATACTGAAATTGAAATAACAAAATGCGATAAAATATGTATGCGGAAAATTCTTTTCACCATTTGAAACGCCTTTGAGATAATGTAGCCGCCGGCAAATGTTTTACAATCGTGACAATTTTGAAAAACAAAACAACAAAACGTGATATAAAAAAATTAATTGTAGCAGTTTCGAATCAAAATACGGAATTCAAACGCTTTGGATAAACAAACTTGCTTTTGGTCTTTTCTTCTTCTCTTCTTCTTGGCAAAAACAAAGTTAAGGTGCGTGTCAAACGCGGTGCCATTGCCGCCCGCCTGTAGTATGTACAAACATGAGTGTTAATTTTGTTCAATAAATAAATAAATACAAAAATTCTTTTGTGCAAAAAAAAAAACAACAACCAAAAATTGTTGGTAATTAACAACAAAAAATACTACAGCAATTACATTGGAATTAAAGAAAAAAAAAACAACCCCCGCATACCCTAGACCCCTCTCAGTTTTAAAGAAACACTTAATTACACGCAATCGAATCTTGTTTACAATAACAAAACATAATTGTTGTTGTTATTGTTTTTTATGTATTATATGATATGAAAACGACAAGAAGTGAAAATCGAATGTGAATACAAAATTTTTAGAAATTTTCTGTTTTGAATTTAGTTGAAAATTTGCAAATTTATTTGAAGTTAAAATTCAGCATAAATTTACAAACAAGTTGGAGTGATCTTAGCCACCCCAGAAATGCAATTCTAAGCCCTTTTCGGGGGGTAAGGGACAAAAACTGTGATCTTCAAACAAATTGCCCTAAAAATTACCAGTTCAAAGGGGCTCGGGCCCCCTGTCCCTCTAACTACGATCGTTATCGCGGTCAATTTTTTTTGGACATACTCGCCGCTAGCAAAAGTTTGATTTCAATCGCCCTAAAATATGACAAAACATCAATGAAGTACCCCTATATGTTGGACTTGCTCGAACATTTTCTACCTCTTAGAAATCAATGTAAGAGAGGGTAAAACCAAAGATTATCTAAATATCGGAATCTATCATATTATTGGTTGATTATTCATTGATTCAAAATGTGTCGAAACCCTTAAAAATATATAAAATAAATAACTAACCTAGTAGATTCGGACGAAAAGTGACAAATTTTGAAACCGACCATTTACAGATTTTAAAAAAGTTTTGATAGATCAGAAAACCTCTCTAAATGGATATAGAATTTATTTGTAAAAAGAGAGATTTTGAATGATAGGTTCCACCTTCATTGGGCTCCCAGGCTTCCTCCGAAATTGTATTTTTTAGATAATTTCTTGAAAAGCAGATTCCTTGAAAAATATAAATTGTATATAATTTTGGGCACAGCTCCACCTCATTAATAGTCTTGGAAAGCATTTCTGGATACGCCGATGATAAATTCAACGAGAAAAAAATTATAATTTCGGTCGGGTCGAACTTTGAATACCCCTCACCATTTAGAAAAAAAATAAGGTAATTTTCAAAAAAAAAAAAAAAAAAAATTAAATCCGTTACAAATTCTGTTAAAATGATTGTTATAAGGGTTATTATTAGGGTCTATACGACAACGTGGAACTTTTGTCATAAGCCATTACAATATTCAAATGTGAAACTTGGAAAAAAAATTGATAAATAATGTAGCTAAAATCATCAAAGTACCGAATATAGGGAGGAACTATTATATGGGGGATATACAAAAACGTGGACATGCACAGACAATTTTCTGTCTTAGGCTGTAGTATCCACTACGAACTTCAAATACTATAATTGAAACAATTCCGTGAATAATGTCGCTAAAATCATCAAAATGCCGAATTTCGGGAGGTACCGTTATATGGGGGCTATACGAAGTCGTAGACCTGCACAAACAATTTTCTGTCATAGGCTGTAATATCCATTACGAACTTCAAATACCAATTTTAAAACAATTTCGGTGAATCATGTCGCTAAAATCATGAAAGTGCCGAATATCGGGAGTTACCGGTATAGGGGGGCTATACGAAGACGTGGACCTGCACAAACAATTTTCTGTCATAGGCTGTAGTATCCATTACGAACTTCAAATACCAATTTTAAAACAATTCCGGTGAATAATGTCGCTAAAATCATAAAAGTGCCGAATATCGGGAGGTATCGGTATATGGGGCTATACGAAGACGTGGGCCTGCACAAACAATTTTCTGTCTTAGGCTGTAGTATCCATTCCAATTCCAACTCCTTTAAAAAAAATTGAAACAATTTCGGTGAATAATGTCGCTAAAATCATCAAAATACTGAATTTCGGGAGGTACCGGTATAGGGGGGCTATACAAAAACGTGGACGTGCACAGACAATTTTCTGTCTTAGGCTGTAGTATCCACTACGAACTTTAAATACCATAATTGAAACAATTCCGTGAATAATATCGCTAAAATCATCAAAATGCCGAATATCGGGAGGTACCGGTATTGGGGGCTATACGAATACGTGGACCTGCACAAACAATTTTCTGTCATAGGCTGCAGTATCCATTACGAAATTCAATTAAAAAAATTTAAACAATTTCGGTGAATAATGTCGCTAAAATCATCAAAATACTGAATTTCAGGAGGTACGGGTATAGGGGGGCTATACGAAGACGTGAACCTGCACAAACAATTTTCTGTCTTAGGCTATAGTATCCATTACGAACTTCAAATACCAATTTTAAAACAATTCCGGCGAATAGTGTCGCTAAAATCATGAAAGTGCCGAATATCTGGAGGTACCGTTATATGGGGGCTATACCAAAACGTGGACCTACATGGCCATGGATTCAATACCAAAAGTCCTGCAGACATAATATACATTTGAGTAAAATGTTATCAACCTACTTCATTTCGTTCGGAAACTAGAGTGATTTCCGCAGACAAACGGACGGACGGACATCACTAAATCGACACAGAATTTTATGCTGACCAAGAATATAAATACTTTGTGGGGTTTAAAATGTATAATTCGAGGTTTTACAAACGAATTGACAAACTTTATATATCCTCCATACTATGAAAGCACATATGACAATTTATATGAAACCATAGTATGGAGGGTATATTAATTTTGTCATTCCGTTTGTAGTAGTTCGAAATTTGTATCAGAGTATTGCAAAAAAACTTTTTTAGACATTTCATTAGCGAAGGGTTGTTAAATACAGAGTGAAGACCAATAATTTCACTATTTTACGATTTTGTGAAAAGTTACAAAAATTAATCCACAAAAAATACCTAGTCAACATTTTGGCGTAAGAAATCTGCCCAAATTTGTGATTTGCTTCTAAAGCCCATAGAAAACTATGTGTGACTAAATTTCCAAGGCGTTTTTGCCACAAAAAAGGATATATACCTGATAAAAAAGGGGTTATAATATGAGTGAATTTGAGTAAAATTCACTGGGATTGAGAATACCAAACAGGGTGTCAGTCAAATACAGGGTCCGTCATAGAACTTATTCTTTTTGAAAAAGCTATAAAAAATGAGATACTAGATATTCTCTAAATGACTTCACAAATATTGTCCCTTAGGACTCAATAAAAGTCCAACGTAGTCAAATCGCTGCTCCGAAGTGGCCAATCGACATCTGCAGTTGTTGATTATGCGACCTTCAAAAACATGGCGCAAATATCGATTGTAGAGCCGCCTAAAGAGAAATTTTATTTATTTTATGAAAAAAGTCGAAAAGGAAAATTTGAAAAAAAAAAAAAACAAGTAAGCAAAGGCTATAGGGACATTTTCCCAATATTTATGCACTCCGTCGTGCTGTTGGTTTTTGTGGTCCATTTTACGGCTAATTTTAATCCAATGGTCATCCAAAATGCCAGAATTCTTCCCTGTGCTTAACTATCTTCTCAGGCGTGTCGATTGGCTTCAATTGCGTGATCAGGATTTTTTTCTGTTTTTGGTTCATTTGAACACCTAAATATTTTGCGATCATGTCCAAAAGCAAGAGACCCCTCTGTGTCTCCAAATTTAGACTCATCTATATGATTTGCTTGTCTATAGTGTTTGACTATATTTGTCAACGAAATCAGCATAAAAGGCCAGAAGTTCGCCTATTGTGTATTTCGGATATCACCTGTAAGTGATGTTGGAATTTTTTCACACAAAAGTAGTGGTCCATTCTTCCCGCTGTCTTAAATTCTATCTTCATGCAAGATTTCGTGTCCTTTGGTTTCTATTTGTGACCTTTATAACGGCTGCAAAATCAGGAACATTTTGAGTTGCTAATCATTTGAATACCTAAATATATTGCGAACATCTTTGAAAACAATAGGCTTAGCCCATCTGAGCCTAACCCTACCTTTGTAAAAAAAATCGTGAGGATCGGACGATAATTGCAATCTGTATATAAATAATAACCCCAACCTGTGTTGTGCAAAAATAGTGCAAAAATATTACAAAATATACACTTCAATATTATAAGTCAGAATGAAAAAATCACATGCGATAAAAAATATGAAAAAATAAAAAATGTCACAAAATACTACAAAATCTATATTAACATCATTATTGGCATTTTTTGTGCGATTTTTTTAGATTTCATACTTTTATGCCAAAACGGCATTCTGAATTTACAAAATTTGTCAGAATCGCTCCAGCCATTCTGGAGATATAAGCATTCTAGCTAACATCCCTTCCTTTGTATATATACATTGTATATATTTCGCTATATATATCCGATATTTTTACTATCAGAATCTACGTAACGGTCAGAATTGACCTGTTCGTCAATTTGTGATTTCGCCGGCATTAAAAATATTAGCGGTTTAATGAAAAATTTGACTTTTATTTATCACAAATGCTATGGTCTATTTCAACCACTAAATATTACCCGATGACCATCAAAATTGGAAGGCTTCTGCCCAGCCCAAAGCTCTAGCGCCATACTAACTTCCGCGTCGATTGATCTACAATAGCGCCCTGTAGAGCAACTGCAAAATCAGAAATTTTTTCAGTTTTTGGTCCATTTCAACCCCTAAATATTATGCGATCATCTCCAAAAGAAATAAGGTTCTATTCTGACCTTAACCCCATCTACATTTTAAATTTCGTGAAGATCGGGTCATAATTGCGACCTGTAGAGTGATTACAAATTAGCATGGACAGACGGACAGACGGACGGACGGACATACATAGCTAGATCGACTCAGCTCGGCGAGATAGGAAGATCCATTAATACTTTCCTATGTGGGAAATCAATATTTCGTGGTGTTACATAATTTTTGGCCCAATCAAACTTATAATACCCCCAACACCAAGTGTTGTAGGGTATAAATAGGAAATATTTTAAAGTTTTTTTTTTGCCTATATTGGTCTAAATATTTTCTTGATAGAGAGAAATAGAGATTTCTTCCCTTCCGAGACTTGTAATTAAATTGGCTCCAGACTATTTCATACTTTGACATTTTTTCCCCAAAAATGGAGTTTTAAGGGAGATTTGACCTCAGAATAGAAATGTGTTAAATCACCAGCAAAAATCGTAAACTCATAATTTCCCCTTGTAATGTATTAATTTGTATCTTGGTATATAATTTTGTAGCTAGGTATATAATTTATTCTGAGATTTATAAAATTGAAATTTTGTGCACCTTTTGACACCCATCACCTAAAATGAAATTTGTTGACTCTATTGAAGGTTAAATTGGTAACAAAGTTTTTTTATTTTAAAATTTGTTTTTTTAAATTCTTGCAAAGGACCTAATCTAATGGTAACCCTAAAGTAGAGAAAGGATAATCCGATTTGGCTCCAACTTTACAAATCCAAATATTTGCATCAGTACTAGGTTAGATGTGAATATGGACAATATCTGACTTCAAGTACCTTACCCTCAAAGGGTCAACATTTTGAATAGTTATAACTCTTATAAAATGTGATGTAAGAGTCCATTTTTTTCGAATAACTCACATCACAATAGTTTTTGTAACCCAAGGTCTGGTGTGAAGATGGAATATATCGGTCTACCCCTTCTGATACCTCCACCACAAAGGGTCAAAATGTTGAATATTCATGAAATTCGTGAAGAGCAAAATTAGCATCCGATTCCATTCAGGCTTGGTACATCTCAATATTTCCAACAACACAAGATCTGTTATAAAGATGGTCGAGATCGGACCATTTCTTCTGGTACCTCCTCCACAAGGGGTCAATATTTTGAATAACCAAAACAATAATAAATCCCGATATAAGCATCCTGTTCTCTTCAAACTACACACATCACAATATTTTTTCTAACCCAAGGTCTGGTGCGAAGATGGGATATATCGGTCCACGCGTTCCGGTAACTCCCCCACAAAAGGTCAAAATTTTGTATATCCATGAAGCCTATGCGAAATCAACATCCTATATATAATTTTGATAGAGATCGGACCATTTTTTCTGGTACCTCCCCACATAGGTTTGATGATTTTGAAGAACAAAACGCTCAAAGAAAGCGAAATAAGCATCCAACTATCTTCAAATTCCAAACATAAAAACATGATATAATGAGATTATATATATATCTGCGAACCCTTCTGGTACCTCACCCACAAAAGGTCACAATTTTCAATATTTATGTCTCTCAGAACTTGCGAAACAATTCGACGATTCTTGTTAAATTTGATCCATATACATATTTTTTTTCAAACAGAAATATGCCATTTATTGTGGAATTTATCTGCTCACTCCTTCTCGTACCTCCCCACAGAAGGTTAAAATTATAATTAACAATTGTTTCAGAAAGATTGTAAAAGCTGTCGATTTTCTTGAAATTTTGCACATCCCGATATTTTTATCAGTTTTCGATGATGTGGAATACTTTGGTCCACTATATCTTGTACCTCATAAGCTATAATAGCTGAGGGTATACACTTGTTACTTGTTAATTTGACATTTCATTTAAATTCAATTTTTCAAAAGTTTATTAATATGTGCTTATTTTTTATTTATTTATTTATTTTTTTTCAAAAGCCCCTTGACTTTTGAATCACATTTTTTTCCATTTCATTTCGAATTCATTTGTTTTTGTCATTTAAACACAACGTTTTTGTTTTTCTTTCCCAAAATGGTATGACTATTTGCCAATCCCTTCCAAAATAAATATCTATTAAATCCCTTAAATATTTCTCTTCTTCTTTTGTTTATTGCAGATCCTTATCAAAAAATCTCATGGCATCGAAATTAAAAACCAAAACACAGCAACATATCTTTCAAATCTTTAAAATTCGAGAAAAACAAAACAAAACCTAAAAATGTGCAATAATTAACAAAGTCAATAAGTGAGTGTAAAATACAAATAAAAAAGGAATTGTAAGCGAATAAGTGAATCAGTGAGCGGGCGAGTGAACAAATGGAACGCCACTACATTTAATTAATTAAAAAATCTCTTAACTAATGACAATCGTGTTAAAAATAACATAAATTTTCAAAGATAACAAAGCGTGGACGAAACCCCCGCAAATAACAAAGAAAACAAAAAATAAAAAAAAAGAAAATCCCAAAAAAAAAATAAAACACTCAGAGATAACGACAAACATCAACTTCCAGTTAAATCTTCTTCAGCAAATCCCCCGAAAAAAAAGAATCCCCAAGGAGCCACGGAGCAAAACAGGCAACAACGGCAGCAGCAGCAACACAAAAATTTAACAAAAAAATCCAAATCTCACGCCTTAAAAATCTTCAAATAAAAAAAGTGAAGAATAAAAAAAAATCCCAAAAGTGTTTGGGTGTTGTTACTGCAATTGTTCGTTGGCTGATTGCCTTTGCCTCGGTCTAGCTGTGTTCATAAAACTATGAACATGAAAGACTGCTGCAATAAATTAGATCGTTAAGTGATTTAGGCTATAAAATGTTTATGTATTTTTAACCCAACATTCTAGAGTACTTGTAAATGTGTGTGCATGAAAGATAAGAGCATAAGGGATGATAACACTTCATGCTGCTGGAGACGCATTGATAATAAAGAATATTCTCCCATAAACATGCGCTCAGCTGGGGAGTAAATATAGATCACAGCAATTGTGTGTTGCATTAGGCCTATGCATAGAATTAGAAATGTCAAGTGTTTGTAGCCTTAAGTAGATGCATAAGATTAAACCCCCCTAAGATTTCTGTTGTGTACTAGCACTTAAGTAATACATTTTGTTCAATAAAATTAGAATTAAACTGACAAACGAACAAACAAGTTCTAGAATTTGATTCTCCCGCTAACATTGGTCCTTCGACAAAAAAAAACCAGCGGCCACAAAAATATATTTCAAAAAAAAAAAGAGAATTATATTTTTGTAAAAAAAAAACAAAACAGAAAAAAAAAAAAAAGCCATAGGGGCAAAACAAAAAAAAAGCCATAGGGGCAAATAAAAAACAAAAAAAAAAAGCCATAGGGGCAAAGAAAAAACAAAAAAAGCCATAGGGGCAAAGAAAAAATCAAAAAAAGCCATAGGGGCAACAAAAGCAAAAAAATAAAACAGAATAATTTTGAAAAAAGCCACAGGGGCATTAAAAGAAAAGAAGCTAAAACTACAAATTTTACTTGCTTCACAAAACAAGGAAAAATGGCGTCGAGACATAACTTGTATAAGCTCCAAAGCCTACTCCTTAAAGAAGTAATTGGGATTAAGGAAAAACTGCAAGCAGGCATGGTTCGGAAAGCAGCCATGGGTGACACACTACGATCCCTGGAAAGCAAAATGAAGGAAGCCACTACGAACCACGAAATGCTGAGAGTGCATGGCGAAAACACTGATCCCTATTTCAAAGAAAATGTTTGGGATCTCATCAACTTGAACTATGGAAAAGCAAAGGAACTCCTAGCGAGTTTGGAAGAAGAGGTCGAGCGAGAACCGCAAAGGGTAATAAAAGAAGCAGAGCCCGAAGTGCATGGGCTAATGCTCGATCAACAGTTAAAGGCCTTCCAAGAGGAAATGCAACAACAGATGCAACAACAAATGCAACAATTTATGTTGATGTTCGAGAAGAATAAAAGAGAAAATGAGGAAGAAAGACAAACCCATATAGAATCATCACCAATGGGCAATCAGGCGAATATAAAAGTAAGCGCAATCATCTACCAATTCAGGAAAAAAGTAAACAAACTCGCCGATGCCGTTGAAAGCGATTTAGCTGGACTATCAAAATATGCTTTGGAGTACATGAAGTCATCGTGGGAGAAGCATATGGATGAAATTAGGAAATTGCATCTCGAGCTCTCAACGGTGCATGGAATGGAAGAGGTAGATCTCGAATTTGAAGAAATTGAAGAAAAGTTTGAGAGCAAAATGCAGGATATGATAAGAAGGATAGATGGTCTTAAAGAGGAGTCACTGGAAGTAGAACTAAAAAGAGTTCAAATACCATCCTTTAGTGGTCATGTGGAAGAGTGGAGTTCATTTCACGATTTATTTAAAAAGATGATTGATGAAAACTCCAAATTATCAAAAGTTCAAAAACTGTACTACCTCAAGACAAATCTAAAAGGAGAGGCATTTCGCTTGGTGCAACATCTTCAAGTGACCGAGGCAAATTATGAAGCAGCATGGGAATTACTGGAAAAAAGATATGGCAACAGGAGAATTTTATTCACTAAATTGGTAGATAGAATACTGGACCATCAAAACATCAACAGCCTGTCAGCAATAAGCATAAGAAATTTGCTGGACAATGTAAATGAAAGTATTCAGGCGTTGAAAGCAATGGATATTCCCCTAGAGCAAGCGGATCCCATTTTAGCCCGAATAATTATACGGAAACTGGATAAGGATGGGCTTATTCTTTATGAGCAGAATGTAAAGAAATCCAAGGACATCCAAAAACTTGAGGATGTGATGGACTTCCTGGAGCAGCAGTTTCAAGCCTTGGAAGCTTCAGTAGGCAGAAAACACAATAACATAGGACTGTACAAACTCCAAGAAAAATCAGCAGTGGTAGCGGAATTAAAACAATGTAAGTTCTGTAAAATGAGCGGACATGATATCGCATGGTGCAGAAAATTTTCGGCGTTATCTTCGAATGAAAGATACAATTGGGCAAGATCAGCACAGGTCTGCCTCAGATGCTTAAGCCACAACAAGGATAAAAAATGTTACAATGAAATTAAATGCCAGAAGTGTGGAATGAATCACATCACAGTGATGCATTTAGAGCGAAGAGGACATACGAAAGCAATGACCACCAATACAACAACAAATGTTCTGCTAGCAACAGCCCAAGTTCGTATAAAATCACTGCATGGAGAATTTGTAACAGTCAAAGCGCTGATAGACCAAGGATCACAAATTACATCCATATCAGAGGACGCGGCTCAACTGTTGCAGCTACCAAGGAAGAAGACAGAAGTGAGGTTACAAGGTCTAGGAGAGACCCTAGTTGGCGTGGCGAAATCTAAAGTTGCACTGGAACTACGACCCAGATTTTTGAGCAACATAATGATTAAGGCAGAAGCACTAGTCCTTCCAGCACTTGCATCAGCACATCCCGACAGAAGGTTTCAATATGACGTGGATAAATGGAGAAATGTAAATTTGGCAGATCCAAATTTCAACAGCCCGGAAAGAATCGATTTAGTCATTGGAGCCGATCTTTACTCACAAATATTGGAAGAAGGAGTTCGCCACGATGAGCAAATTGTGGGACAAAATACGAAGTTGGGTTGGATTTTATCTGGAACAGTAGTAGTAAATCCTGGATTGAACATAAAGAAATCGGCAGCAACAACAACAATTGAGAGGTTCTGGGAAATAGAGGAAATAGAAGATGAAAAAACGACCGAAGAAGACGAATACTGCCTAAAGTTATATGAAGACACAACACGCCGAGACAATTCAGGAAGATTTGTCGTGCGTTTGCCGTTAATTGAAGAAAAAGATTTGGGAGATTCATATAAAAGAGCCATGGCGAGGTTTATAAACTTGGAAAAAAGATTAGAAAATAATGCGGAATTAAAGTCAGAGTACGAGAAAACAATGAACGAGCTCATATCCATGGGCCAAATGGTAAAGGTGGATCCAAGTAAGAAGGCTTTGTATTATATGCCGCACCAAGCAGTGGTACGTGAAACAAGTCTAACCACAAAAGTTAGAGTGGTATTTGATGCTTCATCGACAACTTCAAATGGGAAGTCGCTGAATGACATACTTCACGTGGGACCAAGGCTTCAAAAAGATATATTTGACATTGTAACAAAGTGGAGATCGTGGAAGTTTGTCATCTCAGCTGATGTGGAGAAAATGTTTCGTCAGATTAAAGTTGAAAAAGAAGACCAGGAATACCAACATGTGTTGTGGAGGAGTAATCCGTCGGAGCCTATCCAACAATATAAACTTACTACGGTAACATATGGCACTGCATCAGCACCATTTCTGGCTGTAAGATCGCTCATAGAAATTGGAAATAGGTGCCAGAATCAAGAAATCGCTCAGAGGATCAAAGAAGATTTCTACATGGACGACCTTTTAACAGGAGCGAATACAAAACAAGAATGCAGGGAGGTGCAGAAGAAGATAACGCTGCAACTGGAGGATTATGGGTTTCATTTAAGAAAATGGATATCAAACTCTCCTGAAGTATTGAGTGCGGTGAAATTGAATGAAGAAAATGAAGTGCTGAGAATAGAAGAAGATGAATGCTTGAAAACATTGGGATTACAATGGAATCCACAGATCGATTGCTTTACATTTAGTATGCAAATTAAAAAAGAAGACAAGTTGACAAAACGAATAGCATTGTCAAGACTGGCACAAATATTCGATCCATTAGGTTGGCTGACGCCAGTCACGGTAACAGCAAAACTATTTATACAGCAGTTATGGATACAACAAATAGAATGGGATGTGCCATTGGAGGAGAAATTGAGTGGAGATTGGCGGCAGTTTACATACAGTCTGCCTGCTTTAGAAAATTTAAGGATTCCAAGATGGTTTGGAATATTGGAAGACAAAACTGCACAGTTACATGGGTTTGCAGATGCTTCCGAGAAGGCTTATGCAGCAGTCGTATACCTTAAGGTAAATTCGCAGGTGACCATAGTGGCTGCAAAAAGTAAGGTAAATCCAGTAAAAAATAGGAAGACGCTTCCAAAGCTGGAACTTTGTGCAACACATCTATTGGCTAAACTACTACAGAAGATCAAAGGAGTATTGAAGTCAGCAACACCAACTTTTGCTTGGAGTGATTCCATGATTTCCTTGGCATGGATTCACAACTCCAAAAACAAGGATAAGTTCATAAAAACAAGGGTGATGGATATTTTGGAGAGAATACCCGAAGCGAAATGGGGCTACGTCAAGTCAAAGGAGAATCCAGCAGATATGGGTTCAAGGGGTGTCCCACCGGAGACTTTGACAAACAATACATTGTGGTGGGAAGGCCCCGAATGGCTGAAAAAAGATGAACAAGATTGGCCAAAAAGCAACATAAATCAAACAGTAGCAACAACAGTAAAGTTTTCGACTGAAAACCACTTATATGAAAGTATGATGAAGTATTCGTCATTTAAGAAACAGATACGTGTAATGGCTTATCTACTGCGTTTTATAAAAGGGCTAAAAAAGAAGCGAGCAGTAAATGAGCATTTGACGGCAAAAGAGTTGGAAGAAGCAGAGATGGAGATAATAAAACTACATCAAGAAAGAGAATGGCCAGTGGAACTAAGGAAATTGAAGACATTGGGAACGGTGGATCATCAAAGTAAAATAGCTTCACTACATCCACAGTTGGATCGAAATGGCATAATGCGGGTTGGTGGAAGACTTGCTTTGTCAGAGCTGAACTATAACCAAAAGCATCCAATAATTATTCAAAAGTCAAGATTAGCGGGAAATATCATTCGAAATTGTCATATTCAAACGATGCATGGAGGAAATCGACTTATGGAAAATATACTAAGACGAAAATATTGGATTATTGGAGCTAAAAATAGGATAAAACTTTGCATTAGGTGTTGTCCAAGATGTACGCGCTTTAGAGGTGAAGTGCGAAATCAATTGATGGGAAATTTACCAGCTTACCGTGTCAGTATAAATCAACCCTTTCAACACTGTGGCATTGATTATGCGGGTCCGCTACAAATACGGTGCTCCAAAACAAGAGGAGTGAAGGCTATGAAGGGTTACGTAGCGGTGTTCGTATGCATGGTAACTAAGGCGGTTCATTTGGAAGCTGTCAGCGGACTTACAACGGAAGCATTTCTGGCGGCGCTAAGGCGATTTTTCGCGAGAAGAGGAAAATCAACCGACTTATATTCAGACAACGGAACGAACTTCGTAGGGGCAGCAAGGCAGCTTGACAGAGACTTTTTGGATGCCGTTAAAAACAACACGAAGTTAGCTCCCATTTTGGAAAATGAAAAAATAAGTTGGCATTTCATTCCGCCGGCAGCTCCTCACGTTGGAGGAATTTGGGAAGCAGCAGTGAAGTCCATGAAATATCACCTAAAAAGAATAATTGGTGATACGAAATTGACTTACGAGGAGTTGAGTACGGTGCTATCTCAGATTGAAGCAGTATTAAATTCGAGGCCGCTACATGAACTTGGAAGCGGTACAGAATATATTGACACTTTAACACCTGGACATTTCTTAATTGGGCGTCCGATGTTAGAATCACCGGCGACTATCGATGAAGGTAACTTAGGATGTCTTAATAGATGGAAACTGCTACAACGAATTAAAAGTCATTTTTGGAGCAGATGGAAAGAGGAGTATCTAACCACATTACAAAACCGAATGAAATGGAAGAAACAAAATAATAATGTGGAAATAGGCAATGTGGTGATATTGAAAAACGAAGAAACGCACGCGGCGCGATGGCCACTGGCCAAGGTGGTAGAAGTCCATCCAGGGAAGGACGGAGTTGTAAGGATTGTGACAGTTAAAACACAAGACGGCGTGATAAAGAGGCCAATTAACAAATTATGTCCATTGGAGCATATGGACGAGGAATCTGAAGAATTGCCCAGACAGGAAAAACAGGCGGAAATTACACATACTAATATGACAAGATGTGAGCGAAAAATAAGGAAACAACCAATAACGTGGGCAATGATGCTGAACTTATTTTTACTAATATCTACCAAGGCATCATCTGTACATGAACTGAATAGTTCGGCTGCGGTATATTTGGATCCCATGTCTCAAATTCACATGGTTTCCTCATCATGGAATATGGTTGTGTACTTTGAGCTGAAACCATATTTAGAAACATTAGACCTGGCTTCCGAATTGCTGAAAACATCAAAAAGCTTATGCCCACGACTTCAAACTTTTGAGGAGCAGTGTTGGTCCACGATTAACAATATGGAACTCAAGATTAATAAGATAAAGACCAACAATCGATTATTCCTCAGAGAAGACAATCGTCAAAAAAGAGGAGCTCCGTTGAAATTTGTAGGTTCGTTTCAACACTGGGCATTTGGGGTAATGGACGATGACGATCGAGTAGCTATGGAGAGCAATATGAAAAATCTATTAGCCAACCAAAAGGATTTGAAGAAGTTAGCAAAACAACAGACATCTGTAGTCGACGCTACAGTAAATCTTTTAAGGAAAACCACAGAGGAAGTGAATTCGCACTTTTCGGATATCAAAGGCAAAATTGAGAACATAAGTGCTACAATGAATGAGAATTACTTCGTGTATAGAGAATCCATACGATTCTTTATAATAGCAAAACAAATTCATGAGCTTTTGGAAGAATGTGACGAAGTCCAAAAAGAAGTTGTTGATGCATTAATTGATGTAAACAGCGGTAAGTTTCATCCCGTCCTGATAACACCCAAACAATTACAAGCAGAGATAGTAAAAATACGAGATGCTCTGCCTGAAAAATATGTACTGCCAGGAAAGCGTACGGGAATGGAATTAAAAGAGATCTTACATTTGATGACGTGCCACGGATCGTTTGTGGGGTCCCAACTGGTAATTAATATAAAAATACCGCTGTTCAATCGGCAGTCATCCCAGTTTTACAAAGTAATTCCGATACCATTTGAAGAAGGAAATACGATATTGATAGCCCGGGTGAATTCCCCGTACATTGTATATAATTTTGAGCTGGATTCTTTTCATTTCTTAACACAGCCTATGCTGAATGAGTGCAAAGAGACGTTGGGTAAGGAGATAATGTGCGAAGAGAATTTTCCATGGAGAGATGCAACTACAAATAATTGTGAATTATCTCCTCTGAGACCGCACATAAAACTAAACTGCGCCTATGACGAAGTGGAACGAATGCCTTATTGGATGCCATTGAAACGAAATGGCAATTGGCTTTTTAAAACCTTTTCAAGTGCAACAGCTCATTTGCAATGCTCTCACAAACAACAGACGATTATAGAACTTCCAAAGCAAGGAATTCTCACGCTGGATGCAGACTGTACAGCGAGGATCGGTAAAGTAACGTTGGTAGCTGTGCATAGAGTTCATAACGAGATAAGCACAGAATTCCATTCGTTTCTTTTGAAGGATGTAAGTCCGGACGAAAAAGAATCAATCAAACCCCTTGGAAATATACTTATCAATCATCATCAAGAAATTGACGAGCTAAAGAAATTCGTGGACAAGTTAAAGAAAGAAAATGTGGAATTGCGAGGCTTGAAGTTCCATCACATCTCATCACACGTAGCTTTTATTTTAGTAATTATAGTAATAATAATTCTAATTATTTTATTTATAAGAAGACAGAAAAAATTAAAACGCATAACCGAAATTCAATTTCCCCGAGGCCAGGATGTCTAAATAAATTATTTGCCGCCCGGGAAAATGTTCATAAAACTATGAACATGAAAGACTGCTGCAATAAATTAGATCGTTAAGTGATTTAGGCTATAAAATGTTTATGTATTTTTAACCCAACATTCTAGAGTACTTGTAAATGTGTGTGCATGAAAGATAAGAGCATAAGGGATGATAACACTTCATGCTGCTGGAGACGCATTGATAATAAAGAATATTCTCCCATAAACATGCGCTCAGCTGGGGAGTAAATATAGATCACAGCAATTGTGTGTTGCATTAGGCCTATGCATAGAATTAGAAATGTCAAGTGTTTGTAGCCTTAAGTAGATGCATAAGATTAAACCCCCCTAAGATTTCTGTTGTGTACTAGCACTTAAGTAATACATTTTGTTCAATAAAATTAGAATTAAACTGACAAACGAACAAACAAGTTCTAGAATTTGATTCTCCCGCTAACAAGCTGAGTGGCTGGTCTGTCTGTCTGTTTGATTGTTGGTTACAGACGCCACCGTAAACGCTGTCGTTTTGCCATTTGATATTGGAATTGTATTCCTAATTCCTTTCCACTTTATTCTTATTGTTGCGGCAGTGCCACAGAATCCTTCAAAACGGCTACCATAACGAACTCCGCCCTTGCAATGAGCCAGCTCGGCACCGTTTATGCCACCAAACGGAGGCGACGCAATGGCAAAAGGTAAGTCGAGTTTTTTTTTTTATTTTCTCCTTATCAATTGTTATTCGTTTAGTGAATAGATTTGTAATTTCAATTGCGTGGAATGAGAGGAATTTGTCAAAAAAAAAATATATATTAAAAATAAATAAATAAATAAAAAAAAAATAAAAAAATAATAATAATACTAATAATAATAATAATAATAATAATAATAATAATAATAATAATAATAATAATAATAATAATAATAATAATAATAATAATAATATAATAATAATAATAATAATAATAATAATAATAATAATAATAATAATAATAATATAATAATAATAATAATAATAATAATAATAATAATAATAATAATAATAATAATAATAATAATAATAATAATAATAATAATAATAATAATAATAATAATAATAATAATAATAATAATAATAAAATAATAATAATAATAATAATAATAATAATAATAATATAATAATAATAATAATATATAATAATAATATAATAATAATAATAATATAATAATAATAATAATAATAATAATAATAATATAATAATAATAATAATATAATAATAATAATAATAATAATAATAATAATAATAATAAAATAATATAATAATAATAATAATAATAATAATACTATAATAATAATAATAATAATAATACTAATAATAATAATAATAATAATAATAATAATAATAATAATAATAATAATATATAATAATAATAATAATAATAATAATAATAATAATAATAATAATAATTATAATAATAATAAAATAATAATAATAATAATAATAATAATAAAATAATAATAATAATAATAATAATAATAATAATAATAATAATAATAATAATAATAATAATATAATAATAATAATAATAATAATAATAATAATAATAATAATAATAATAATAATAATAATAATAATAATAATAATAATAATAATAATAATAATAATAATAAATAATTGTCTTGTAATTGTCAAAGTTTCAAGTTGCAGTAAATGCCTTTTTTTCCACAGAAACCTCTTTGGAGGGGCAGATGAGGGCTCCTCTTTGCGATCATCATTGAGTATAGGATAGCTCATTTAAAGATCTTCTATCGAGAGAAAAAAATTTGGAGAGTTTTTTTTTCTATGGAATAGAAACCCCAAAAATGTTCTCGGCATAGAATGTCTCCTATGGAATTCCGAAGAAGTATTTTTTCTCTTACATGCATAAAATTTAGCTTCTATATTGGATAAGGCCATTGAGGATTATTTTATAGAAAAGAACAAGTAAAAAAGCTGTAAGTTCGACCGGACCGAACTTTGAATATCCTCCACCATTTGGATCGAATTTGGCAATTTTTCAAAGAAATAAAATCCGTAAAAAATTCTGTTAAAATCTTAAAAATATCGAATGTAGCCGTTATTTTAGGGTTTATACGACGACATGGACCTGCATAGGCAATTTTGTCATAAGCCATTAGAATATTCAAATGCGAAATCGGTGAATAATGTAGCAAAAATCATAAAAATACCGAATATCGGGAGGTAGCGTTATACGGGGCTATACCAAAACGAGGACCTGTACAGATAATTTTCTGTCTTAGGCTGTAGTATCCTTTACGAACTTCAAATACGAAATTTGAAACAACTCCTGTGAATAATATCGCTTAAATCATCAAAGTACTAAATATCGGGAGATACCGTTATATCGGAAATAGCATCAAGAATAAGTTTAGATTTCTTCGAATTGGTCACTTTTGGCAGGAATTATGGCGAAGCGCTTGCTTGAGGTGATCGGCACATTGGTATTTTTTAGTGCCAACATTGCTTTCCAAAATACTCCGGACAAATTAGTCCAACGGATTGGTATCCGGAGATTTTGGTGGCCATTGTGTGTTGGAAATGAAGCGAGGAACCTCATTTTGTAACCATTCTTGGGTGGCGCGTTCTGAGTGCTGAGTCCTGTTGCAATGTACAAGGTCTGCGGCTTAAAGGATTGCGTGCCCAAGGCTTTAATACACCCTCCAGAATATTTTCGCGATAAAATTCTGCATTTATTCTGATGCCACTGTCGATTTTGTTTACAAACTGCTGGACAAAGAATGTTTTTTCATCGGAGAAAACCAAATTAAATTAAACACTAAATTTTAAATACATTTCTAAATTCTAAATTGAAATTTTTGAAATACTTGAATTACAACGAAAAAATATTTCGAACTACCTCTGAAGGAGGTGTAGCTCAAAGTATTGGTAAACACTTCCAAGTATTCAAATATCAATCGAATTACAGGCATCAATTTATAGTTGTTCTTGTTGTTATTGTAGCCACCATGCTGATCCAGGGAAAAAACAAAAATTATTATTGAATTTAAAATAATTACTAATTTATTGTTGATATTTTTCCAATTAATTATTTTTTTAATATTTTATTATTGTTGTTAGCTGTGTTTTTTTCTCTCCGACCATTCTAAGAAATTTCATTCATAGAATTGTGGTATTGAATTGTTAACCTTCATTCATTTTTTATTTGAGCACTTTATTGAATGGGGGGTTTTTGAAAGTTTGCATAAATTAGAGATTTTCATTCAAAACGTTGTTTAATTGATTTATAGAAGATTTCACTTAGCTCTGCATAAATTTCGACAAAGAAATGATATTCAAATGCGTTCAACTCCACAAAAATGAAAACAACAATTTTAGGAAAACTATTTTAAACTTCATAAAAATTAAAAAAAAAAATGATGGGTAATAAATAAATGTAAACTAAAAGGGAGTAATATTTGCTATTTTTCTGTAAAATATGTCTTTGGCTTTTGGAAGCTCCTGTACACTAAAATTGGAAATTTTGTTAAAAAATACTACCTGAGGAAATTATTTAAAAACACGCCTGGCGTAAAGGGTACAAAATAGATTTGAGCGGTTTGACATGCATTAAACCTACCAAAGAAAAAATTTGATCCTGTATCGATAATAGATTAACCGTTAGAGATATTGAATATCTTTGCGATATAATTTTCTAAAACAAACTGCAATCGATTTGGTTTGAAACTGTGACAAAGACGTTCTAATATCAAAAACTGGGGATAAACATTATTCCAGGACCTAAAGCTATGTTGAATATTTCCTAAGAGGATATTTTTTTCTTACTAGCATTTCAAAATATCAAATTACAAGCATCTTCTCTGCAGCATAGAGCTTAGGCTTGGGAAAATGTCAGAAAAAAATTGAACAGTGAATTTTACTACAAAGTGAATTCAATATTATGTTGGGTCTACGTTACAAATTGTTCGTGAGTATGGGAGTTGGAGTGAAAAAAGGCGGTTTGGACCCTCAAACCAATTGGGCCAATGTGCGGGTCTAATGTCAAAAACTAAACCGATATTGGATAATTGTTATAGGATGAACTTTTATTCTACGAGACCTCAAAATACCAAGTTGCAGCCACGTTCTTTGAAAAGTGGGACTGATATTTTGCAAATATCGACACTTAAAAGCGTTGTAGGGGGGATATAACAAATAGAGGACCTATTTTAGAAATTTGATATGACTTTGTCAATTAATTTATAAACACTTCGAGTGAGAATATCTTCATTTATTTTGAAAAATCACTAAGATCCCTGAACTGGTGACAAAATGTAGGTTGTGCGGCTAAACGGGAGGCTATAATAACAAGTGAACCACCATTGGAAATTTTTTGCAAGATGAGATTTTATTATTGCAGAACCTATATACTAAGATTTCAAAGTGGCAAATTACAAGCATTTTGTTGAATAGGTTCAAGGTATTAAAAACACCGACTGCATCGGACGCATCCATTATACATTACATCTTTCATTTTGGGTATTCGTTGCACCTTAAAATGAATACTTTGTAATGAGCTAGAATTCTGAAATTTGGAATGAGAGTCATAGACGGAGTGCAGGATAGATCTACTAAATGTTTTTTTTTTTCGGAAATTCGAACTGTAAGGTTACAAAAAAAAAAAATCTAAAAAAACACTAAGCTTCTAAAATGGTACCAATTGAATGGTTAGAGAACGGAAGATCTGGAAATTTGTTATGAGAATCAAAGTTGAAAAGTAATTTTTATATATGAAGATGGTTTCGGACATGTGTACTAAGTGTGGCAACGGTACTAAATCAACTAAATTTGGAAGAGTTTGGCTTATGGAGAACGGATTGAGAATGGAGAATTTCGAAGTTTTGGTATAGGACCCCTGTTGGTGGTAGGTTTGCGAGGTGGGTTTTTAAATGAATACTACAAGTGCATATATAGTACTAAATAGTACTATATTTGGTACAATTTGGTATTGGATGGATTTATAGTTCTTGGAATCTGAAATTTGGTATTGAGGTTGCTGTTCATGGAGTTGTTTTAAAAAATGTGTACTATAGCTGTAGGAAATGTACCAAATGGTATAAAAATTTGGTAGCGGGTGAGGGGATAGAGATAAAATTCTGAAGTTTAATACTTATTTTTATACCCTCCACCATAGTATGGAGGGTATATTAAGTTTGTCATTCCGTTTGTAACACGTCGAAATATACATTTCAGATCGCACAAAGCATATATATTCTTTATCAGCATAAAATTCTATGTCGATGTAGTCCGTCCGTCTGTCCGTCTATCTGTCTTCCCGTCTTTGGAAATCACTCTAGCTTTCGAACAAAATGCAGAAGGTTGACTGTAGGAATTTTGGTATTGAAAGTGGATCACGTTTTGACATAGCCCCATATAATGGTACATCCCTTTTTTCGGTATTTTGGTGATTTAAGCGACATTATTCACCGGAAATATTTCAAATTTGGTATTTGAAGTTCGTAATGGATACTAGAGCCTAAGACAAAAAATTGTCTACGTTTTCGTATAGCCCCCATATAACGGTACCTCCCCATATTCGGTATTTTGATGATTTTAGCGACATTATTAAACGGAATTTTTTTTAAATTAGGTATTTGAAGATCGTAATGGATACTACCACGTCTTCGTATTGCTCCCAAATAACAGTACCTCCCGATATT